CATACCATTTCTACGAAAAGTTGTTTTTTCCCCGTATAAAATACATTTTATACATACATTTTTGAGTGCTTTGAGCGACTTCTAAAAATTTTGTGATTTCAAAATAAAAAATAGGGATATATATACATATTTTTTTTTTTGGCATAGAAAAATCCGAGGGGGTGAGAGCATAATAATTCCGACATTATTTTTTCACATGCTTTTTATGACCACCCTAGTATACATATTATGAAAAGCAACCATAGTTAAGTGCTACAAAGTTGAGGATAATGCCCCATTATGAGCTCAAAAAAGAGTCAGAAAAGAGCATATTTTCCTTCCTAGAAGGGCATGCGAATAGGAGTCCAAGTTCGGAGTCATATGAGAGTCTGAATTATGACGCTTTCTGAGTATTAAAAACAAATATTCTTTATAATTCTGATTACTAATAAGCTTTTACTTATATGTGACCTTTGTTACTTATGTTCAACACAGAATTTATGACACCAAAAGTGTCAGTCTGGTGAACTGGTCTCAAAATTATATTTATAACGGAAGACTTATTTGTAAGGGTAGTATTTGGAGGGACTAGTAACCAAGACTTGATTGTAAATAAATATGTTTACCAATCAAGGCATATTGAACAGGTAGTATCAGTAGAGCAGCTGATTTAATTTTTTTTGTAAATTATTTGGTCTCTAAAATGTCAAATATTATTAATTTATTCTGATAAAAATTCTCAACTGTCAAAATCTACAAAACAAGCGATTGAATAGCAACTTTAGGAACGTTCATCAAACTCAGCAGCACAAACTGTGATAACTAGGTCTGGCAAACAAATATATTAAGAAATAAAGTTGCAAAATTTTTTATTTTTTCCAATTTTAATTTTGTATTTGTATTTTTGTCATGGCACACGTTGATTTACAAGAGAAAAAATCAGAACAGATTTTGACACTTTAGATACCAGAAGCAACAACAAAATGCACGTAAATTTTGTTTTTGCTCTAATGCTACTGTTTGATATGCCTTGCTCCCAATTAAAACTTATGGAAGGTTTCAAGACCGGGCCGAACTCCTGTAAGAACAAAAATGGCGACCTAGTGACCGATGTCCAGAATGTACTTAAATTGTGTAGGGAACACTTTTACAACCTATTGAATGGTAGCAGCGCTGAAAGTAGTGGATAAGACGAACCTGAGTTCCCAGTCGATGGTGATGGAGTAGCTGTCCCACCGCCTGACTATGACGAGGTAAGAATAGCGATTACGCGGCCTGCCAGCCGAGCTATTCAAGTACGGCGGCGAGGAGCTGATGAGGTGCATGCATCAGCCGTATGCAGAATATGGTCAGATGAACGCATGCCCGACGACTAGAATTTAAGTGTGCTCTGCCCAATCCACAAGAAAGGTGACCCCGTTATTCGCGCCAACTACCGTGGGATTAGCCTTCTAAGCATAGGCTACAAGGTCTTATCGAGCGTATTGTGCGAAAGACTGAAGCCCACCATCTACGAACTGATTGGACCTTATCAGTGCGGCCTTAGGCCTGGCAAATCCACCGTAGATCAGGTATTCACAATCTCGCCAAATCTTGGAAAAGACCCGCGAGCATAGGATCGACACACACCATCTNTTATTCGCGCCAACTACCGTGGGATTAGCCTTCTAAGCATAGGCTACAAGGTCTTATCGAGCGTATTGTGCGAAAGACTGAAGCCCACCATCTACGAACTGATTGGACCTTATCAGTGCGGCCTTAGGCCTGGCAAATCCACCGTAGATCAGGTATTCACAATCTCGCCAAATCTTGGAAAAGACCCGCGAGCATAGGATCGACACACACCATCTATTTGTCGATTTCAAAGCCGCTTTCGACAGCATGATGCCGCGATGTCTGAATTTGGTATCCCCACGAAACTAATACGGCTGTGTATAATGACGTTGAGCAATACCACCAGCTCCATCAGAATAGGGAAGGACCTCACCGAGCCGTTTGATACCAAACAAGCTTTCAGACAAGGGGACTCCCTTTCATGTAATTTCTTTTATCTGATGTTGGAGAAGATAAGAGCCGCAGAACTGAACCGCTCAGGCACAGACATCGATATTATCGGGATTGGATAGAGAAGCGAAGCGAATGGGTCTGGTGGTGAACGAGGACAACGAGGAAGGTCATCACACAAACAGTCAGAGCATACGCGTCTTGGCACCCACGTCACTGTTGACAGTTACAAGTTTGAAAAAGTAGACGACTTCGTTTATTTGGGAAGCAGCATTAACACCGATAATAATGTCAACCTTGAAATCCAACGGAGAATCACTCTTGCCAACAAGTGTTACTTTGGACTGAGTAGGCAATTCAGGAGTAAAGTCCTCTCTCGACGTACGTGCTGGTATATGGCGCAGAAGCATGGACAATGATAACATCCGATGAGGCAGCTCTTGGGAGTATTCGAGAGAAAGATTCTGCGGAAGATCTACGGGCCTTTACGCGTTGGCGATGGCGAGTACCGCAGACGATGGAACGATGAGCTGTATGATTTTGACTATGTGATCGACTGCATTGGAATTCATGTATTCATAGTCAGCTATTGAAGCGTTGTTAACGACAATGCCACGCCAAAGTTGTATGTGGAAGGGCATTTACTCTTGCGTAAAAAATCAGTCGATACCCAATATGCACACTGCAAACATTTTTCCACTTTTTTCAATCTTAGAGAAATTCTTGATTCTCAAGTAGATACACAACATTTTTCTAAAAAAAATTTCCCAAGGTTTGACTAAATTTCAATAAAGTTTGTACTCAAAATAATATGCAAGTTTTTCTCAAATGAAAAACTCAGATTATTGCAAAATAATAATATGTACAAAAATGTGCCCCTTTGTTAGAAAATGGTTGGTTCTCCAATTGAGGTACACTTGAAAATCAACATTGGACATTGGAATATGTAGTGGATCTCCATTTGACCTCCAACCCAAATGTTTATTGGGTACTTACTTCCAACAATATAGATACATATGATGTATGCATGGGTTAATAGAAAGCGGTATTGTGTTAAAATAATTTTTAATATTCGCATCTTTTGTTTGATAACACATCAATACATAAATGAATACTTATATCTGTGTAAAGTAAAGTAAGTAGACGTATTAAAAGTGGTTAGTATTCACTAATAAAGACTAATCATTGCTTTCGAATCTATGTAAAATCTAAATATTTGCTGTGTTCTTTTTCTTGCTGAATATTAACTTTTACTAAGTAAATTGTTGTCATCTAATATAGATACAGGTCAGTAGATACCTCAAGAAATTTAGTTTGTGTTGGTGGCTTTGGCATATGTGACGTACGGTAAATAACCTAAACAATTACACAATTCAACATACATATGATTAGAAAATGTGAAACACCATAAATAAATAAGCACAATTAAAAACATTTATTACAAAAGTACACAATAAACACAGATTTACACATAACTATGTACGTACACACAACAATGCAGAATTTATGTATATAGATACATTTGTAGCGTACGTGCAATTCTAAGCAAATTTTCCGAAGAAAGATTGGGTCTAAAATCAATTTGGAGTTTGCCAAATTGTGAAAGTAGGTATCGAAGAATATGTAAAAATTTTCACTTTTGCGCCCTCTGGAGAAATTAAAAAAAAATTTTAAGTCCATAGGATGTTTTTATACAAAATTTAAGCACTTATTTACGACACTACAGCAAAATGCTAAGACACCTATTTTCGCAATTTGGCAAACTCCAAGTTGATTTTACTATGGGTCCGCAAATTTGCTTAGAATTTCACATAGAATCCTTCTGTTCTATGCGCGCATAGTCGAAAAGTCTCCCAAAAGTGACCCACCCTAATATAAATACACATATTGTTGTTAAATGAATTAGATCGGACTAAGCGGCGTAGATATCTACTAGATGTTTGTTAGTAAATATGTGGGATATGCGTGTATGTACAGGTAGATCTTGGTTAACCAGTACCGATACAAGTAGACATCGAATACTTTAAATTCGATATATTTCGGGTACCGATACTTTCTTTCTATACTACATCCAGGTGAAAGTTTCGATACCTGCATGGCGTTATTTTACGCGGTTAAGTTCTGATCAGTACTTTAGCCACTTTTTTCCATTAATGACCGGAAACTCCCCAGCTAGCACATTTCCCAGACAATTCATTGATATCAGACAAGTCGGAATAAAAAGTTGACTATTTAGACAAGTCTTACTGGTTTCGTACAGATTTCTGGGCGAAGTGTCTGGAGATGTTTTTTTTTTCCTTGTTCGATGTGTCTTATCGAATTATGTCCGATTTCGGGCATTCACGTCTGATAATTCTTATTTTCCATGATTATTGGTCAGACATCTGTTAGATATCCGTCAGAATCGTCGGTAATTAAATCAGAATTTCCCACGCCCTCTCGGTTAGACTTCCTGTCAACCTCTCCACACGCTTCTCTGACTTCTTATCTTCAGTACATACATACATATATAAAAAGTGTTACTGCAATGAAATGTTCAAATGAATGACGTCGAATGGTGGCACAATATGTATGAAGGTATGTATGTAAGTACATAGGTAAATTTATAAGCAATTTCTACAAACGTAATGGCTCAAATTGCGACAGCTTTGAAATTTCGTGCAACCGACTAGCAAATTAAAATGAAAGCTTGGACAGTTATAAAAATAGAAACATTTGTAATTGAAAAAACTAAAAATAAAGTACAATGTACTGTATTACATACAAAAAGCGTCGATCATACAAACATAGTTCGATATATAATACAAATACAAACTGAAAGGAGTTTAACAAGGACACAAATGACGACAATCAGGCAATATCGATTAATGATTTAAAACAAATTAGTTACTTCAATACAAAACATTCAAATACATGTATGTATGTATAAATAAGACTTTATTAAAAAAAAATGTTTGGGTTAAATGTGTACATGAACATGTTACTTTTTTCTGTTTTTTTTTTATTAGCCCAACTACCTTCTGATAGACAGAATACAGTGATGGTAGCACGTGATAACTCCACGATTGCTGTGCGGCGCTTTTATCTGTTGTGGTTGTGGTGGAAGTGGTAATGGTATTGTGGTGGTTGTTAATGATGTGTGCGTTGTTGTTGTTGTTGTTGGTGAGTGTATCACCGACATAAACTTTTTCTTTATTATTTTCGTTAAAATACTTTTTATTAAAACTATTCGCAGCTGATGTGGACGATGACGATGACGATGCGTGCGATGACAATTGCTGTGAGTTTCTATTTTTATTGCGATTATATCCTAATAAATTGCTGGAAGTGAGCAGCGAGGAAGCATATTGACTGCTAAGGGATTTCTTATTAGTCTGTCGCCATTAGTACATATCCAAATATTAAATGGTTCAGTAAATAAGAAAACAAATGAATTGGAGGATATTTTGTAGCGCAGTGATGTGAATTAAAATTCAACGAAAACATATTTGTAATTGTAAAAAAAGAGAGAAAGAGAGAGAAATAGGTTAATGAGCTCAAAAGCAGTTTAAAGCGCTAAATTTCAAATGCGTTCTGTTATGCTTCTTTTGAAAGTATAATACATTATTAATGAATATCATTGAATAAAACAAATAATAATTGTACCCTTAAGAGTTAAAATAGCTTTTAGACAATGTAATCAAATTTTTGTGAAATTTTATATAAGTACCAAAACTTACTTTACTATTATATGTGTAGTAGTTGAAGGTCTTTAAATATGTGCCCAGCGAAAGTATATCGCACTGCGGACATAAACTGCCTATTGAAGACTGCATCATTTCGAGGAGATAAAGAAAATCTTCGGCTACATAATGATCTTCCTCTAGGAACAATACCAGACCTGCAAATATTTGTGTAGATTTAATTATAATTAATTACAATTTTCTTTCCTTTAAATATGTCATATGTAACTAACCAGTATGATAACGTGTCACATCCAACTGGTCAAATACACGATTCGCCTTCCACCACCAATGATGTTTTGTCTGTGTAAACTTCGCTTCCCTGTAATGCCCGTATAGGTCGGGGTAGAGGGCATTATTGCATTTGCGTACGATGGCTCTGTTTAAGAAGAATGTAATAAAATTGCTGAGAAAATGGTAAGATAATTTGTACAAAATATGCTCTTGTTAAAAATTTGGCACTCACTGATCTTTTTTCATGTCACGCGGACAGTCATTCGGGTCTACGCCAGGAAACTCATTCGGATGAGTTTGTATGGAGTAAGGATAAAATATCTGTGAAATAAAAAGTGATACATGTTAACGAATGGTAATGAAACATTTTTCTTACCAATGTAGTTAAGCTTTAATGGTATTTGTTAATTACCTGTATGACCTTACAGAAATCAATAGTTTGCACCAAATCATTGATGTCATCGTCGTAGTAGTCATGCGAGAATATTAATAAAGTCTTAGAAATGTCCTTGGCCTGCGCCAGACTAACGATCAAATGGCGTAGGTAGGTTATACGTGTATGCACCTAAATTTAGAAATTTATTTCTGAGTATTTTTTTCCGAAATGTGTGTTTGTGTGTGCAAGTAAGTGTACAGTTAATAACAATCTTAGCGTATACAATCTGGCACAATTTTTAGGTGTACCCTCGAATAATACTCTCTAGAAAATCTGACACACAAAAATGCCGATGCACGTAAACCTCATTTTAGGTCGTAGATTATGGATATGAATGTTTACCGCTTTTTTTTCCTAAAATATTATAATTTTTATGAAAAAAACTTCAAACTTTAACAAGGAAAAAAATAGCACCTTTTTTATAGCTTTTTGTCACGTGTATTAGAGCATGTTATTTTGCCAAAAAATCAAGCTACTTACGATGAAAATCGATGGATAATTAAACTACTTTTGAATGGTCAAATGAAAATGTGCAATAATTTTATGTATGAACTAAGCAGCAAGAAATAATTTCACTCATACGCCATATCGCACATGGCCATACCCGGTCATACTCGCACATGGCGTATGAATAACATTTTCGATGTTAAAAGTTGATTTTTTTTTCATTCGCAATGCAAACTTAAAATGAAAGTATCCTGGGAAAATGACCTGATCTAGAAAAACGGTATTCAGATTCTTAATCTACGACTCAAAATTACATAAGTTTATGTATCTGGGCGTTTTTTGTATCATTTTGGCGTCCCCACAGTGTAATTTAATAAAATACATACCGTATTTCTTGAAAAATTATACTGCTTAAAATTACGCAGTGTTGATAAAAAAATATTTTCAATTATATGAAAATTATTGGCAATTTGCGCATCGCTGCTAATTTTACTGGCGAGGAGAAAATTATCTAAATATTTACAATGGGAAGTCCAACGCTGCGACTAATCACATCGTGCTATCGTTTGAAAAATTCAATGATTCGTTTTCTTTTGTTGAAATATTAGCAGGATATAATGTTACTCATACGCTATGACCAAAGTTAATGGGCCCTATGTATAAAAAATACACTCAAATTTGCACTGACAAAGTGAGCTGAAATTCAAGAATTTGTACTGGAAATCGGATCGGAAGTTAAGCTTCCGTTTTAAGCATGAGGCCAATAGGTAAGCAAACCTTAGTGATTACGTAAAAGTGGTATGTTGCAGCGTAGTCATTTTCACTGAAATTATTTAGATTTATTTTTCCCCTAAAAACGATATTATTGCGACTATGCCAACGATGAGCATGATATGTATGCAAGTGCATGATGCTTCAATATATGAAATAAGCCTATATGTACTTCACCTCACCTGTATTACAATTATCACAGAATCATTTTGTAGCGGACCATATGTGTCCTCATTTAAAACTATTTGCAGTTCATTATACTTGGCGATTTGTTGCTTTATCTCCGAAATATTTGGAGGATGATAATAATCCATATAAGAGGCATTATATCTACCCGTACTGGTGTTATTATACTGCACTGGAATTAGAAAGAAAAGGTCAAGCGAATTCGAAAAATGATTTATTTGACTGTATATATGTAAGTACTATAGTTACGGTGACCATTCATACCGAGTTTGGCTGGACAGTACCGAGTTTAGGGAGAATTGTCCCGCTGAATATTTTTTTAAAGTTGGGACGTATAAATGTCCCGATTTTTCATATTTGTACCGATTAAGTCCCTATTTTTCAGTGTTTTCTATATTAATTTGATAAGGGTATCCTTTTACTCTGGCCCAAAAACAATTTTTCGTACAAAGGTAGCAGCACTTTCGTTATCACAAACGACATAGAATATAAGAGAGCCATAAACATAACCCGCATCCTAATTTTCTGTCATCTTTGGTTATGTTTTATTCTGTCAAACTGTCGCTATATTGCAGTATATAATCATTGTCACAGTTTTTTAAGGTTTTTGTATTGATTTGTTAACTTTTTTTAATGCAACAATTCCAACTTGATTTTTGTGAAATTATAAAAATAATACTAATTTCCTTTAAAAAGCGCGGATATGGAAAATATAAGCTGTAGATATAGTGTTGGAAATATAAATAGAGAAGAGACATTTTCGAATTTTTCGGCTATTCCCCTTGCGATCATTTAATATTTATTATTTTTTCATGAAAGTGAAATACTATGCAAGTAAAATCTTGTACAAAAATTAGCAAAATTCAGCAAAGTTTCATCAAAATTTTGAGCTTTTTAATTAGATTTCTTGAAGCATTCTGAGTATGCAGTTTTATAGCCCATTTGATTCAAAGTGTAAATTTTAAATGACTAGGACTTACCGTTGACTTTTGTAAACTTTTTGTGGAAGGTGTTGCTCATTTTATCCACACTTACTTAATACTTTTGGAACACACTTTGTATGGAAGAAAATGCGCGAAAAAAAATTGCCAAAAATCAATGGTAAGTCAACGTTTGTTAAAATTCGTAGAATTTTTAAAATGTTCTACAAAGTTTGAAATTTTGATTTACGTGTTTGTATTTTTAAGATAGTAAGTTATATTTTCATATGAAATAATAAACATTTTTGAACAAAGCAAAATAGCCAAAACTTGCTAAATGGTATTACCTATTTACATTCTCGCCACCGTATATATGAGTGTATCATTTTTCAAGTTTTTTTCTCTTTGTTTTGTTTTAAATACATAAAACTGTTTTAAAAGATATGATGTCTTTTGAATCTAAACACAAAATTGTATGTTCGGATTCGATGCTTTAGAAATGTCCCGATTTTTACCAACATAAATCTATGTATGTATGTCTGTAAACTTACTAGGTGCGGCTGCTGTGTGGTTTCTAGATTTGGGCGTTAGAAACTTATGTAAAACTGATGGCACCATTGAGAGCATCGCATCTATTGAATCGTTGGCTGGTTCACTAATCATCGGCATTTCACGAGAATCAGCTGTTTTAAAAATCGAAAGGAAAGGCATTCAGATGTACATATGTATGTATGCATAAAAAGGTATATATGTATGTATATACAAATCAAATTGCCGTATGCTAAAGTACATGGAAATGCATATTTCTTACATGCGTGTGTATGTACTCGTAATAAATCATAAGTAGACACAAGATGCCCCGTTACATAAGAATGCATGTACATATGTAATATACAAACACCAACAATTTCGAACATATGCACATGTAAATGTATACTTACTGTAGTTAAATACATGCAGCTGCATTAGTACGAATACGACGAGTGATACTACCAGAATTCCACGTATGTAATAGGTATTTCGTTTGCGATGCATGAATCCCGTGTTTGGCAACGGTAAGGGTATTTTACGAACTGTAAAATAAAGTTAACGCAATAAGAAATGCCATTAGAAAACTCTTATGCCGAATTTCCACTAGGCATATATGTAATACTTCTATATTGGCAGTAAGCTAACTTCTCAATGTGTAAGCATTCCGAAATCAAAGCGAGACAGTCTCGTACCGTTTTTGTCAATGTATTGTGTACTTGAGTGCCGTTTTTGTATATGTGTTGTGTACATGTTTATTTATAAACGTATGCGTTCCTTTTCTTTCGTACGTGTTTATTGATATATCTGTACTGTAGTGTTTTCGGGCGGTACTAGCTCTTACTGCCAATATAGGAGTATTACATATATGCCACTAGGCATTTAAATGACAGAAAATGTATAGAAGGGTGAAAAATTCATTTGAACAAATTAGGTAAAAGGCATGGTAAAAAAATAGGAAGGTAGAACCGCTGAGGAATTTTTCAAATTCTTGACGTTTGCAAGCAATTTCCCTGCAAATCCAAGTTCCCGAAATCTTAACGAAATCTTTAGGAGTATCTGATTTCTGTAACGATTTTTTTCCGAATCTTCAAAGAAAATTATATGAAGTGGTTGACACGAACTCGTAAAGAAATTTCTGTACGAAAAATAAAGAAAATTCTGCAAAAAGTCTGCAAGAAATTCTTCACATAGCAGCATTATTTTCATTTCTTCACCGATTTTCTTCCGAAATTTCGTAAAAGAATGGAAGTGTGCGTAATTTATTTAATTTTAGAAAATTCGGAAAAAATCGGATGGGATCTTTTCGAATTCGTTAAAATTTCTTTACGATTCAGAATACTCTGAAAAAATGGTTTGCAGGGTTAATTTTAAAATTTTACACACATTCTCATTTTCATTCTCAAACAACAACAACTTTGAACAACTCTGTTTTTTTACTCTCAGTTTTATACGATTTTAAAATGTTGGCAAACTTCAAAAAAAAAAAAATCATGGCCGACGCATTGAGAGAACGGTTTTACTTTACTATGCTTTTATCATGGGTAAAAGGTATGTAATTTTAAGAAAAAGCATTTCCTTAGGTTTTATGCAAACGGACCAAAGACTATATTTATAAACGTAATGGCACGGGTATTTTTTAATGCCCAGCATTGTCATTAAAAATTTTGTGATTCAATGCCTAGTTGCAGTGGCGGATCCAGCGGGGGGCTTTGGGGTTTAAACTACGTGTCAGTCAGTGGCGGGCACACGGGGGGGGGTTTAATACATAGACGCCAAATTATACATACATATGCACCATATTAAAACACCCCCCGTGGGTCCGCCACTGTCTGACGCGTAGTTTAACCCCCAAAACCCCGCCGCTGGATCCGCCACTGCCTAGTTGAAACTCAGCATTAGTTATGTATGAACCAAAGTAACGAAGGAATGATGGCTATGTTATTACCAGGGAATTGACTTTTAGGACCTAAAAACCTATAAAAAAGGCAAAATAAAATAACGAAATAGGCTGGAAAAAGCAAAAGAAAAAAGCGAAAAAGGCAGGAAAGGGGACTAGGTATTGCAGAAAAAAGCAAAATAAGGCACTAAAAAAAGACAGAAAATACGAAGAACAATCAAAAAATACATTTATTTTAGAAATGTTTATATTACAAGTAAAAAGAGAAAAACTATGAACTTTTCANTGTTTTAATACATAGACGCCAAATTATACATACATATGCACCATATTAAAACACCCCCCGTGGGTCCGCCACTGTCTGACGCGTAGTTTAACCCCCAAAACCCCGCCGCTGGATCCGCCACTGCCTAGTTGAAACTCAGCATTAGTTATGTATGAACCAAAGTAACGAAGGAATGATGGCTATGTTATTACCAGGGAATTGACTTTTAGGACCTAAAAACCTATAAAAAAGGCAAAATAAAATAACGAAATAGGCTGGAAAAAGCAAAAGAAAAAAGCGAAAAAGGCAGGAAAGGGGACTAGGTATTGCAGAAAAAAGCAAAATAAGGCACTAAAAAAAGACAGAAAATACGAAGAACAATCAAAAAATACATTTATTTTAGAAATGTTTATATTACAAGTAAAAAGAGAAAAACTATGAACTTTTCATTATATGAAAAATTTGTACTTTGAATCTTTGACTATTTTATCCTTTCGAGTTTCTAACTCATAAAACTTTAATCTGTATAGTTGTAGTAACATTGAACCACAAGATGCATTTTGAAGTTTTCTGGCATCATTTTCATTCGATTTTCGCGAAGAAAAGCCTTGAATGTACTAAATGTCTGCTCGACGTAAGTTGATACAAGTGGAGCCCAATTTAAATATGGAACGTTTGACACGTTCATATTATCAGGAATAAGGGCGTTTTCCTCGTCCTTTACAATTTTATCCACACCCCTTATTGTCTCTAAGCCTACGTTAGCTGAGAAAACGGCTTTGAGTTTTTCCAGCACCAATTTGGCAAGAGGTCCCTGCGCTTCTATAAGCCGCATGGGCATGTGTATATTTTTTATCTTAAAAAAAAATTGTAAATGCTATAATCAGTTTTTTAAAGGTAGAAAAGGCAAAAAAGGGCAAATATCTTAAAAAAGGCAACATCAAATGTGTATATATAGAATCAGGGAAAGCTAAGTCGTGGACATTCTTAATCGAATATACTCTATCTCTTTAGCAGAAAAAAAGGCAATTTCCATAAAATCCGTTCCCTGGTTATAAAAAATCTCGCACAAGATACTCACCCCTCATTTTTGATTTTGCAGCTGCCGCTTTTGCCGTTGCTGCTGCTTGGGCTTGTGTTTAATTACAGCCCAATGTTTAATTCGTTGTACGCTTAGCAATCATCAATTCGGTGACTAGAAAGAATCGAAAAATAATTGGGTAAAAATAATTCCATTTATCACACATTCTTAGGTATGCACATATATATGTATGTACCCCGCCATATTATACACTTTACATATCGCACACGATCTTTAAAAGTGACACAACTCAAAATTAGGCATTTTCGAAATTATGCACTAAAAATGTGCACACAGCTTTTATTTACCTTCCAGCAAAAGCTGGAGCAAACCTTTTGTTATAATTTGTTGAAAACCCCTAAGGTACAGTCTCCATTGTCTATATAATTAGCATGTGCTAAGAAAAGTGTCATTTTGAGTTGTGTCACCTTTGAAGATCGTGTGCGATATGTAAAACAAAATAAATTAAAGGCTTTCAAATCGAAGCAATTAATTGAAAGTATTTTGGCGCTGAGATTGAAAAGGAAGAAATAAGGCAACAAGAATCTTTTCGTGTGAAATTGCTGACCATGGCTGAGGTTGGGAGGGGTTGCCCTGAGGTCGGGGTACTCCCTGGTAGTGGACTCCCTATTAAGGGAGATACAAGATTTCGAACACACCCAAACTTTCTTGAAAGATGTTTGTGCACTAGCATCAGGGAAATCCCTCAGAGAGGTATGCACAAAGAAACAGAGGATGCGAATAAATTTAGAGAATGGGTACCACTTTGCCAGGCCTTGCTGCCAACCCCAGCGGGACAAGCCTCACGCAGAAAATAAAATTGGAGGCCTTATTGCATAGAAAAGAATTTTAAAGATAAAATTGATTTTGGAAACTCCGAAATAGAGTTGTACAGTCCCAAAATTGGTACCTGGCCTGTGGGATATGATAACAATTCCAACGCGTCATTAATCTAATAAAAAGAAAAAGTTCATTCGTATGAATCCGGAAGTGACAATTCAAAATAACAGACAGAATTTGTTTTACTGCACTGCATATGTTCTACTATTATTTTTTAAGTGTTAACCAACATCATATGTGTGTGCTACTACTGCGGGGCCTTTTAAGTTCTACAAATAATAATTTGATGGTAGAAAAATAAAACTGAATAATAATTATAATCATTAAATTTGATCGAACAAATAAAAATTAAGCAATAAGAATTTCTTTTGAGCGGAAAAATGTAACTTTAATTATATTGGTTTACAGCAAAAATATTTTATGGATGCAAGCTTAATTTAACTGGTGTGGAGTCCACTGATATACATATTAATTAGTTTTAATTAATTAAAAATCAGTATTGGAAATAGTACCCAAAAAGTAGTAAAACTAATCCTAATCTTTTCGCCCTTTTTCTACTACCCTCAAATGCATGGCCGCATTTGGCATGCAGATAAGGTGACGTTATGTAAGTGACATCACCTTATATTTATTTCCCCATATTTAGTGTATGTAATTTATGTAATTTTGTTTAAATTTTTTATTTTCTTAAAAAAGTATAATAAATAAAAATTTGAGGTTTTTGGCCGAAATGACGATTTTTTCAGGGTAAAATTACGATTTTTCAGCAAAAGCCAAACGACAACAACATCAATCAGCGTTGCCAAGTTTTCATTTTGAAAAAGCACTAAAACCCAAGAAATATCGCGTTTTTTCTCGAAAAAAGCACCAAAGCTTTATTGGAGTATTTAAGGGACTTTGTATGCATGAAAAGTTGTATTTTAGGGATGTCGATTCAAATTAATAAAAATCAATGTCTTTTGCTCGACGTTCGAATTTATTCTGTTTTCTATAATTTCTGACGTTAAGATTATTGTTCTTATTTTCTAATTTGCCGTTGTGTCCAGCGTTGCCGTTTCGCTTAGATTTTTCCTGACGTTTTGCTTAATTTTTTCTACAATTCCTATCAAACGAAAGCAAAAACCAGAAATCAAGTTTCATGAGCTATGTGGTAGTTTAAATCTACTCTGCAGTCTCTTATGATCTTGTGAACTAAAAGAACGTAAAGAACCTGCCTTTCCGACCGCTTAACACCTAAAACACAACGAAATTTGATTTTCCTTTTTAATGTGTCTTATTTGAGCATATTATCCACTGGCGCATAGTGGGAAAAATATTTTTGTGTCAAAAAAGCTGTCTACTCTTCAAACCCAACCCGATTTTTTATTATTCTCTATATTGTTGGTAAACATATGCTCTCCCACTTATGATTGTCATTGTGACATGATTTTGGTTTAATTTTTGTAAAGTTTCTTACAAAACTTACGATTTGTATAAATTTTGCCCCCTTTTTGTTAGGATTTACAGATTTGGTGTCTTCAAACCAATCACTAAACTCTAAAATTTGCGCGTTTTGAATAAAGAAAACCACTAAATTTAATGCGAAAAGCACAAGTTGTAGCAGTAACGTCAATACCAATAGGGGTATTCTCTGAGTCTTGCAAAGCCCTTGCACGGTGCACGGATTGCACGGTTTGCAAAGCTGTCCCATACGAACCCCGGTTTTTACCGTGCAATCTGTGCCCCGTGCAAGGGCTTTGCAAGACTCAGAGAATACCCCTAATGTTTCTGGAAATTACAAAAACATATTTCAACCCCAAACTAAGAGCCAATTTACACGATGACTTTTCACCCTGTAGGCTTGTAGGCAAGAAGTGTAGCGAAGTCAGCCGGGTAGGCAAGCACGCACGGTGGGCGAAATCCATGAACCAAAAAGACAAGATCACGCGGGCAGGAGACTAGCCCGTTAGAATCGCATTAAGGAAAAAAGTTGAACGATTTTGACATTAGCCGTTTATTTACATTTCTTCGTTGTTTACAATTTGGTGGTGGCTTTTTACTGCAATTTTCNGCTGAAATGTCAAAAAAACGCAAGAAACGCCGCAAAGAAAAAGTCATCGTGTAAATACACGAGGATTTTCGAAGACTTTTTTAAAAGGGAACGTGCAAAAAACGCAGGGTGAAAAGTCGTCGTGCAAATTGGCTCTAACAAATTAATGGTAGAAAATGCAAGCCAACTCGATACAGCAGTGACGCTTCGTTTCGTTTGTTTTTCTGTGTTTTGCTATGTTTGTTGTAACTGAGCCAAAGTGAGCCACAGTATTGTTGTTGTAAGCCAACTGAATGTCGATCCGATTTTGTCGGTGAACATTTCGGGTGCTGTTCTTTCACGAATTCTGTGTTTGTTGTAAGTGAGCCCCAGTGATGTTGATGTGAGCCAACTGAGACAATTGATCTACTGACTGATCGTACGTCATGTATTCGGCTGGATGTAGCATGGTGGTGTAGAACTATGTCCAAAACCACGGACGCATTAAGAACAGCATTAGGAGCGCTTCTAAAGTATTGGATAGTCTACCACTGGATTTAGCGATTCTCGAGGAGGACGATCTGTATTGGATTGTGGCACGATGGTAGAAGTTACGGACACAGACAGTAGTTTAGAAGGTTGTAAGAGCCAAGCTTTTTATTTTTGGTCTTTAAACACAAACTGATACCTGCAGAAATTACGTCTTTAAAAGACTAGATAATTGGCGATAGGTGGGAGGCGGTAGGATTACCAACTGTACTTTAAAATATAGTATTGTAACTTTTTTTTTTGGGTCTGCGTACTACATACATATATACTGTTGGAAAAAATATAGTACGCAAAAATAATATATTTCATCAATTATAAATATAAATGTATTTCAGTAATTTGTAAGGAAAAATGAATATCAAAGGGGACCTTTATATTGAAATAACAATGTTAAAAAATATTCTTTAAAATAATAGGATCAAAAATGGCAACATTTTTTAAATACTTTGAATGAATAACCAATTTTACTTAAAATTATTCCGCATTCACAGAAAGAGTTTTTTCTATTATGAATGTGAAGTGGCGAGATGAGAGAAACAAAGCGATTACCTCAATAATAAAAAATGAACTTTTGATGTTAATTTAAATATAGATTGCGATAAAGCATATCGAGGGCTTATATTCAATACCCTCCATCTGCAAAAACTCAATTTTTCAGGAGAGCGAAAAAACTGTTTTAACAACTATTTTTGAGAGTGTTAATAATTTTAAGTACCCACGCATGTCTCAAAAATTCACGCTATATATTAAAACTAGGATTTTGCTTTTAATTCATTTTATTTTAGTTTAAAGATCAGATAGGCGTTATTGCAATTCAAATTGTAACTATTTATATAAAAAAATGTGCTGATAGCAGGTTTTGCACAATAATGAAAATGTCAGTTCTTTAGATGTAAATGTTGTGTTAAACTAAGTTTTAATACATAAATCATTGGTTTGCAAACTCGTTCCCGTCTACTCCGACGTGCTCAAGTAGCCACATTTTTATTTTAATGGTGTTTTGGTGTCGAAAGAGCATTTCTCGTGACTTCGAAATTATATGAGAATCATTAGCACTGTTAAAGAGGGCTTCGATGGCTGAGGCCGTGCATATGAGGAAATTTCCTTTGTTTTTAGAGGCGAAACGTACAACTTCTAGCAATTGTAAATGCCGAGCAGTACGCGGGATAACCACCGACGACAATTGTAACACCAATTCCTTGTTACCACAAAAGAACAGCCGGTATTATATCTGGAACCGTCTGTGAAAATAAGCTCCCAGGTCATTTATGAGTATAGAACTAGGCAAATGCCATTACGGTAGAGTTTTGACTTTAATAGGCATCGGAGTAGATATGATGTCCAAATCTTTGATGTAGCGTAATATACGAAATAAAGCTGATTGCTTGCTTCATCGGTTTTTTTTTGTTGAAAGCAGGATTCGACGTGAGATAATAAAGTCTCATTTTTGCACAATCTTTGGGATGAGTATCTTTGTGTTGTTCTTTACCTCATGGTTACGGTTCTTCTGACTGCTGCATGGTAAGGTGATGGTTTTTGGCGCAGTGTCTGTAAATTACGAGTCGAAAGTCAATTTTTCCTAATACAAAAGCCCTAATTACATTTACCAGTGTAGTTATATGAACTGAAGAATACTTGGATGATAAAAACTTTATAATATTTAGTATAGCAAGTAAGCTTAATCTTACATTATGACAGAGCTGCTTAAAAGTAAATT